CGTTACGCATAAAACTCGGTTTTATTTTTCATTTAGCATTTTTTAGAGAATAAGTTACACTCTGCCTTAGGCAACCGATAGGAAGGGAATGATTGGTTACATTTAATGGCATCATGAAGCATGTTCATTCTTTGGGTGGAATTTAATTATAATTCCTTAAGTAATTTTACAGACCTGGATTGATACCGATTCCTATCCAAGTCAAACTTTATAATTAATTCCAAGTCTCTTTCCAACTAATAACAGGGAGCATCCTTCTAACTGGAAGAAGTCTTTTTTAATCATAGATGAACCTTAATATTTCCTGGCCTCTGAGTTATATAGTTAATCAACACATATCCGAAAGTTATATTGCCATTTAGTTTGCGACCAATAAATTAAATCTATACAATTTCTCGTTAATACTTTCAGGAAATGTATCTCTACTAATAAACTTTCTAGCCAAATTTACATCCACATTTTTATTGAAAAGAGATGCCCTGCATTCGGACTTTTCAGTTGGCAAAACACTCACATTGGTCCAGGCTAGCTCATCAGCCAAATCGGTGCGCAACTGCTCCACACGAGCAGATTCAACCTCCTGTTTTTTTGCTCGTGTTAGCAACCAGGTTAGGCAACCGGACATTCGGTCAAACCTGTATAGATATGAGTCAGAGAGTAGCCTAAGCAGATCTGCAATACCAGGCTCTTTGAGACCTGTAAAAATACAATTATGGGGAAAAGATAATCAGGCTTATGAAAGTACTATTGTACATTAAAGATGCAATTCAACTATTAAGAGAGAAAAGTTGGAATCTAGAGATCCCATTTGCGTCAAAAACCATTCTAACTCAACAAGTTCAAGCTCCCTAAAGGTTTTCATGGATAAAATTAAATTTTTCTTTTGTTTGAAAATAAAACCCCTTGATGGGATCTACTATATAAATAAGTTTGTCACGGGAACTCACTTTAATTAATTCTGTGATTAGAGGATTGGTTATTTATATTGAGGATAAGTTCCAGCGATAACCACCAAAGTCCCATAATATTTACTCATCAGGATGCACTAATTTCCTTTTTCAAATTTTATAGGAATAGGAAATTGATTCCTAAAAAGGGAATAATCAGTGACTTGAAATAGGGAAAATGTTTAAGAAGCTAGTATTAAACGCTTAGTTGGTGATTTTGTAACTCAGCTTACTTAATT